AAATTAGTTAGCATAAATCAGTTAAATGACAAAAAATTAGGTGTCTATTTACTTGTGACCACTCAGTGTATACGGTCTGTACGGTTATTGTTTTTATGAAACAGTCACGAACAGTTCAGAGAAGGCTTGCTGGATTTCCCTAATTAAATCCACATTTAAAAATGTTCACGAATCATAATAAATTTAATTTAAATTACATATGTTATCCCCTGCAGGTATTACGTATTTACCTGCGTTTTGTTCCCTGCATTAAGTTAATGGATTTTTCAATAGTGTGCTTGATTTTCATACCACGTTTTATTGTTCCTTATCAAAATTAATACTCAAAGCAATTTTATATAAACTATATTAACCTTCAACATAACTTTGAAGTTCGCCAACTACATTTAATGCTTTAAAATAACTTAACTTATTTCAAGCCACAATAAAATTAGCCTACATAAGTGTAATGTATATCTTTTTTTTCAAACTGTTTTTTTTATAATTTCTCCTCCGTTGCTTGCACAATGTGCATAACTCACACATTCTTCTTTCTTAGACTTTCTCACTAAATTCACCACTGCTGACTTACACATTAAAATGATTTTTCTTCATAATTATATCTCATTTTTTTGGCTAAATTGAAACCACCACACTTATTTTTTCGCGTTTCATTAACGTTTGTTTGTTTGTTATTAAGCACGAAGTGACACAATACGCTATGCGTGCTGTGTGAGTATCGAAACTCAATATTTAACGTTATAAGCCATCAAACTTGGCTTCATTAACCTAATGAAATAAAGTATAATAACATTTGAACAGCAGGTTTATTCCTTTTTTGTGTGTTTGATCTAATTTTAACAATGAAACTGTGAGATTTTGTATGTGTGTTAAATTAACGTAATTAACTTAGTGTGGGATATGGAAAAAATACAGTTTTATTCCTCATGTTCACCAACATTTTAACACTTTTTTTTTCTCACGTACATGTATTGTGCTCAATGTGTAGTTAACCTGGCTCTGGTATGCTCGAGATTGTTATATATTACCAAAGGCCATTCACCGTTCAGGTGTTGCTCAATAATTTCTTAGTTTCATACTAGTGTGTCCTTTAGTAACATTGATCGTGTAAACGTTTAGTAACATTTGCGTCCTCCCTATTATAGCTATTGGGATGGCTAAGAGATATAGGTAGCAAGTGTATTCTGGATGATTTGACCCTATTTCTTTATTCATATATAATGATTAGTTTCACTTGATATATTCAGACTTACTCATAACTTAGAACTTCAGTCTCTAAGGAGTTGTGCTGTCCCACGTTTATGTAATATTTTCACTTGTACAAAGCTTTATATTTATACTGTGTTGTAAAATAATCTTTAAACAGTCATTTATTTATATGCTTTGACTCAACCTCTTTTTATACTGTGTAGCTTATAAATAAAGTGACTGTTTAAAGATTATTTTACATTGAGTCCAACCTCTTTTTATACTGTGTAGCATATAAATAAAATGACTGTTTAAAGATTATTTTACATTGAGTCTAACCTTTTTTTATACTGTGTAGCATATAAATAAAGTGACTGTTTAAAGATTATTTTACATTGAGTCTAACCTTTTTTTATACTGTGTAGCATATAAATAAAGTGACTGTT